ATAATGATGATGATGATAATGGTGACGATGGTGATGATGATGATGATGTTTATGATGATGACGATGACGAGGAGCAGGCCTATGATGATGTCGAGCTTGATGCAACTGAGCAGCCACAGCCACAGCCACATCCCCAGCCCCGGCCACAGCCACAGGCACGTCCAAACGACTTGCCCGAGTGGATCCTCCACGACAGGCTGGGGGTCGTTATGCGGGCGCAGCCTCATCATCAGGTAAATGATTTACGTATTTATTGTTGTTTACAATCGCTAAATGATATAAAAAAATATAATATTAATTTTAAAATAAATAACTTCAGGAAAAAAAAAAGTTTATAATATTTTTTTATGTTTATGTGACTTTCATATATAATTTAGTTTAAAGTATAATTATTAGTTTTAATAATAACTATTATATGATATAATAAAACTGTAATTATTACTTCGTTAATAGTTTAGCATTAGTTAGATATAGTCGATTAATAATAATAATAATAATAAAGTTTGTAACGAGTTTTGAGGGAAATCGAAATGAAGTTTTATAAATGTTTTATTAAATGCTGTTAGGCAACAATTATATATATAGATTTTATTTAATAATATTGCATTATTGATACAGTCAATCACAATATGTTGTATATATACTAATTGTTCTTTTTTAATACAGAGGCGAGCAGCAAACGCACTAAGTGCGACGACTGGCTTGTTAAAGCCCCAGTACCCGGTGCACCCGTCGACGGGAGTGTTATCCCTAGTTTTCTAGGGCACGTAGCCTCCCGGATTTAGACTGGACAGCTCAGAGGCACGTTGAAGTGCCAAAACAGGATGTCGGCCAACGGAGTTTTGAGGGAGTGGCTCGCAGGGATGGATGACAGTGCTCGAGATCTGATCCGTCCGACCGGGCTGTTACATCTGGCGTCCAGCATGCACGAGCACGTCGACACTCCACTTATTTCAGCATTTGTGGAGCGATGGCAGCCGGATACTAACTCGTTTCACCTCCCTTTTGGTGAAATGAGTATCCTGCTCCACGACGCGAGGGCCATACTGGGGGTTCCTGTCGTCGGATCAGTAGTCACAGGGGACCTCGACAGCATGACACAACATGCGTACTGCATGGAGCTGCTGGGGGTGAGCCAGGACAGGCTGATGGCGAGCTTTTGGAGTCACGGCTCGGTGTCGAATACCGCCGTTTTTACTGCGTTGCAGAAGAATGGCGCAAGACGGTCGGCTGAGCATGTGGCTACTGGCTGGTTGTGGATGCTGCTCGCTACCACCTTGTTTACGGACAAGAGTGGTAACAGGGTCAGTCCCAAGATCCTGTACGAGATGATGCAGAACCTACAGACAGTTGGGGATTACTCGTGGGGATCGGCCGCACTGGCATACCTATACAGACATTTAGGTATGGCCAGCAAGGGGGACTCGGGGGGAGTGGCGGGCTGCTTGACTCTCTTGCAGTCTTGGATATATGAGTATTTCCCCCACATTCCGACCCCCCGGTGCTCGTATGGCCTCCGAGCCTGGCAGCCTAGCTCGATCAGCCTTGTGGAGGACCGCCGTCCCAGATAACTAAGATAAGCGCCTCAAGGATTTCCGTGTGCGGATTGACAAACTCACAGCCGTCGAGGTACGTTAAGTTATTTTATTTACATTTACTTGAAAGTTATTTAGAATACTCAAATTGTTCGAATAAATGTTTTATGCAAATGTGAACAGGTAAACTGGTTGCCATACGGCCCCGAGCCGCATGTGTTGGAGCGTAGGACCCTTTATTCCGGATGCGTTAGGTACCGGGATATTGTGGAGCCGTACATGCCTATTCGTTTCTTGCGCCAGTTGGGCTACCGCCAGATCATCCCTCTCAGCATGTATCGACCGAACACTACATATCGTGGTTGGAATTCTAGGATGTACAGGGTCGAGCATGGAGCTACTACTGCAGTAGATCACTGGGGCCATTTCCCGCTACTGCATTCTATACGCTTGTCTAATTTTACTCCGACCACGGCAGATGATGGAGATGCGGACCATGAGGACTACCAGCGATGGTATAAGCGGTATTCTCATCCTAGGCTCTTGCCCGATAGTCAGGCGGACGGCAATATCTCGACCCCCCATACGGTCTTTTCGCAATTGAGCTTTATAGTTATAAACTTGTTGGCAAGTAGCGTTGTCCACAGGGTTTTTCTCCTGAATTGCAGCCAAAATTGCTGTCGGTCTTGCCTGAGCACCACTCATGTCACGGATAATCTCTTTGGATGAATCATTGAGTCTGCTGATCTGTCGAAGACCCTCGGGATACACACTCAACGCATGATTATGAAATCCCTTCTCGTCTTTTAAAGGAAGTCAGATACACCATTTTTTGGATAACGCTTCTTTTTTCACATTTATCTGAAAAAGACAGCCAGTATATTTCGTCTTCGAACGTCTCAAGACAGTATTCACTAGATTTCCTAGTTTTCCTGCCTTGCCCCTGTGACGTTCCCCTCGGTCACACCTCAACGTCCGAACCGTTCCATCCTTATTGTGTCTCGAGATGACCAAAAAGAAACTCCATATTGTTGCAATGGCTTTTGCCCATTCAATAGCTTTTTCGGGAGTATCAAATAGATCGTCTGTAGCGAAACAACATTGATAATCTTCACCGTCTCCTCCAAAATCTTCGAGTGGCACCTGCAATATGTTACGATGTATGTTAATATTTTTTACAAAAATAATGAATTGTATTTTCTCTCTAAATAACTATATAATAAATATATATTATATATTATTATGTTATGTAAATATATATTATATATATTATATTATATTATATTTTAAATATATATTTTAAATATATATTATATATTAATATATATATATATATTAAGTATTTATATATATTTTAAATATATATTTTTAAAATTCCAAAAAAAATGGGAAAAAATAATAAATATATATTTCAGATTAAAAAAGGAAAAAAAGATTTTATAATATATATTAAATTTATATATTAAAAACAAAAAAAAAAACGCAAAAAAATATCTTTTAAATATTTTTTAATTAAATAAAAAATTAATTGCGAAAAAGGCAAAAATATTATTTAAAATATTTCTAATATTTATTTTTAAAATTTAGATAAACTATTATATT